GCCACTTATTCTCAGACGAAGGAACGGAACTTCATTCCAAGGTTGCAAAATTTACTCGAATTTTTTGCAAGAAAGTGGTTGTGGAATTTTTATCTAATTTTTGTCCGATTGTTACGTGAGATCAAAGGAAAAATTAGTGACATTTTCTGGTAAAAATGCCCACGATTCTCCTGATAAATCTCTTTAGCTCATGATACTAATTTACAGTGGCGATTTGGCAAGTTGGCAACACTATTGGTCCTGCTTTAGAATCCATTAAAAATATCGATTTTAGGTGAGGCAAGGTGTCTCGCCAAGAATCGATTGTTTTACATGCATTTAAATGGAGGAAAAACATTGTAGCCAACTTGCAAGAATCGCCGCTGCACACTGATATAAAGTTGTGGACTTGCGGAGAGCTGCAACGTGTTTGGACGAGTGATGAATAGCTAAGGAGTTTCAGAAACGACGGAATCTATAAAATTGTTTTCATTTCTTTTTAACCTACAGGTTTTGAGACGAAATCACTGACTATTTGCCTGATTGTGCATTCTTAAAAACCTTGTAAAGCATCCTGATGTCGAAACTCCTGATCAGAAAAAGCGTGAGGGTGTCGCTAAGTTCTGTTGGAAAAGTTTGACAAAAGCTGCTTTTCGAGCGCTGCGCCAAGGGTTTAGGACGTATGGTACAACTATTTCAACGTCTAAGTGGCTTATATTGCATAACCACCGAATTGAAGGAGTAATGAGCTTTGCACCGACAATGTCGTCCACTCAGACTCCATCTCCGTTCTAAACTATTTGTCATTCAAATGCGTGCTAAACTTCTTGAGTCTATGACAAAATTACCTGAAAATTTTTGCATTGCAACCTATTTTACTACAAATTTTTGCCTACTTCTTACATCTTGTCAGCTTTCAAAAAAGCTAGAGAAAACATAATGAATGTGTCTCTATCGCAATATTTCGGGCTTTCTGCTTATACACCACGTCAAGCATCATAATATTTGTACTTGTATTTTCCTAAAATATGTATGTTGGACTATTTTACACTCTATGGAAAGTTCACGTGAATTTTACACAAAACTGTTGTCTGCGTTGGTGGTGTCTACACGTATGCCTATGTCTCAGTATGCGTCTGCGTCTATACGTCTACATCTACGCCTATGTCCATGTCTATGTCTCTGTCTAAAATTCGTACGTCTTATTTCTATGTCTCATATCTATGGCTATGTCTATGGATATGGCTATGGCTATGGCTAAGACTTTGCTAATATCTACGTTTATGTCTAGGACTGTGCTTATGCATACCTCAATGCTATGTCTAAGTTTAGGACTATATCTATGGGTTCCTCCTAGTTTATGGCTATATTTTGGCGAGCAGAAATTTCAAAAACAAGAGTTTCAACCACATTTTAGGATTACCCAGCAGATTGTAACCCTTTATTCCATCCTTTTGCCGAACATCCCTTGTTAAGAGTATCATCGGTGTTCTTATAAAAATCGGTGGACGAAAGGCGATGACTGCCGATTCGGCAACCCGGAGTCGAGACGGAGAGCCTCTGGCCGCGACCGAGGTGCAGAGATGCTGCGGATACGCGCAGGGTTGCCGAACATCGCGAAGAATCCCTCCAGGGCCCAACCTCCCGGGGGGATCCGGCGGGATAACGTGGCAACGCGGACCACGGCCACGGAGTAAGGAATAATTGTCAAGTGTCAGCCTTAATTTATGGCTACAAAATCTGTGGGTAGACCCCCTGTCGTTTTACAGCTTATGAATATTTTGTGGATGAGCATCTTGCGCCTGCGCGGCGGCGGCGGCGCGGCCGGTGATTCAGATTTTCAGGTAGTATAGAGCCGGTGCCGCGTAGCGTTCCCCCCTCCTCCCCCCCGNGATCCCCTCCCCCGCCCCTCCCCAGCGCGATGGCCGTGTCCTCGTCTTCCGCCCGGCGACGATTCCGCTAAATGTCCACTCCCGGGCAGTGGTTCCCAACCTGTCGAAGAAAGTTCCACCGCCGAACAGTGGATCGAGTCAATCTGAGAGGTCGGGAATGAAATTGTTGACTAAATCTGACGATTTGGATGTTTATATCGTTACATTTTAAATTTTAAGGGGTGTCTCTAAGAGAAAATTTCACGAGGAAACCAATGAAACCACTTAAGAGCCTCAAAGATTTGTTTATACAAATCTTTAAGGTTCTTAAAGTGGCTTAAGCGAGCTTTTAAAGTTTCCAAATTTTGTCCAATTTCTCCTTTTGACTGGGTCCAGTGTGCGCCGGTCGTCGCGACGGACTCGGGTCAATGGGTAATCTGGGTGAATGGCACACCGATGATGGGGAAACTACAGAACCGCGTATCTGGATTCTGGTGTTGCTACATTTCGGCTTGGACACTTGGGACCAGAGACAAGAGACCCTCCACTTTGTGTCCCGGCTATGGTGGAAGCTTTTGCCCTCATGACTTTAACATTGAAGTGTTGACTTACCTGCATGGGTGATGTTCAACAACGTGTCGGCAGTCTCGTTTTGCAAACAACCCAAAGTTTGGGAAACTTGTTTGGCTCATGACGTCACTCGAAGCTCATCATCCACCATGTAGGTAGGTCAACAGCCGAAATAAGAGTGATGACTGTCACTCGCTTATAATTGTCCATGAGGAAGTGTTGAATCCCCGAAAGTAAAAGCTTCCACCTGTCGCCAAGAGGCCAGTGGAAGGTCTCTTGTCTTTTTGAATATCGGTGAGATGTACAAAATATCATTGGCTTAGTAGGAAATCCAGTCAAAACTAGACATAATGTCAATCGTCTTAAAAGATCCACCGAAAAAAAGTCTCTTGCATTCAGAGTCCAGACTTCTGAAAATTTGACACGAAAAAATCCTCTTGATTCAATCGGCTTTTTGCTTGAATCGAGAATCAAGCCTCGAGAGCCAAGAGGCCAGTGGAGAGTTTCTTGTCTCTGCTCATAGCCCAAAGGGGCTCTGCTGATTTTAACTTATTGTTAATACAAAAATATTCCACCAGAACCAAAACTGTTATCTGGGTTAAAAACGTGTAACACAGGCTTTCAAACCCCCCTAAAAGTTTTGCTTGGACAAGATATTTTTAACCAAAGGTGATGAAACCGGTCCTTGGCAAATGAAGAAGAAAAATCAAGCTTTAGCTAGATGTCACCGTTTGTAACTGAATAAGAACGAAAATGAGAGATGAGGAATGGGAAATTATCCGAAGGGGACGATCCCACAATCCCACATGGCGCTGCTCTGGCGTTAGGGCACATCTCGATTTCCAAATGAGCCTTGTTTTCCGTATAACTTAATGCTTTTCGGGGCTCATGCGAAGAGATAGATACGCCCTTACGCCGGAGGCGCGGCTACATGTTTGCATTAGCTGCGTCGAGTCGCGTCGTGTCCCGTCACATCGCTATCGGTGGGTAAAATAATCCGGTAATAGTGATATCGCTTGGACATGGCGGAGTTGCGGCCGCCGCACAGTGGACCGAATCACTGGAAGAAGTCAGACAAGAAATTTTTGACAAAAATTGTAAAATTTAACGTTTATCTCATCACAATTTTAATTTTAAGGGGTGGTTCTTATAGAGTATTTCACGAGAAAACCAATGAAACAACTTTCAAAACATCAAAATTTCAAATGAATGAAGATAAACGCTTTTAAAGTTTTTAAATAATGTCCGACCTCGAGAACACTGACTGGATCCAGTGTGCGGCGGAGCCTAAGCCCGAAGGCCCGAAGCACCAACACCAGCGGTTGTCACCGAGGCAGAAGGAGAGCGCAGCGCCGAAGATACCGAAGATAGCTCGAAGTTGGCGTGGGCATCGGTGCATTAGTGTCTCGGTGTGCGAGAGCGCTGCGGCGGAGATGATGTGCATGTTCGTTAGAGCACACGGATGCCTTTAAGATTGATTTACATAACACACAGCTCCACTAATCTCGAGGAGTTGCAGTCAGTGTCCCCGAGAACTAATCAGATTTGGTTAGACCATTTAATATCTCGCCAGCCACGGCTCACCTGTCTGCTCCGCGCCGCGCCGCGGCTGCACCGCGTGACGCGATCCTGCGACTCCAATCCGGCTCGGCTCCCTTCGTCTGTGCGTTCCTACCGTTTCCATATTTCCTGATTTTCTTCGCTCGGTTCCTTCCGAGGTAAAAATTGCAAATAAAAATTCTTGCAAAAATTGAGGAGAAAGGAAGAAGAAGTTGGAGAAATAGGAAGAACTAGGAGGGTATCAGAAGCGGTTCCAGCAATTTGGCAACACAGGAGTTTCTCAATTTAAACCTATGTTAAATAATCGATTCTTCTCGGAGCATCTTGCCCTCCAAGAATCGAAATATTTCCATAGGTTTAAATTGAGGATTACGATGTTGCCGATTTGCTGGATCCGCCAATGTCAACGAGTATGCAACTCAGCACGTGGGCGACTTAAACGCACGGTTAGGAAGGTAGCGGGGCAGAGGCATTTCCTTAATGCTACTATAGGCTTGGGGTAAAAAATGTCAAAGTCTAGAATCACAGTTTACAGGCGTTACTTGGCCTCCTGAATGCATCCCCACACGTTTCAAACAACAAAAGTTTCTATAGGTTTAAATGAGAAATACAATGTTGCCAATATGCTGGATCCGCCAATGGAGGGTATAGGAATTTTTTACATAAAAAAAGATGGTGCTTATAAATTTCATAACTATTTCTATGCGTTCCTTGAGTTATAAGTGCATTTCCGTTCATTTTCTTTAAAGAAAAAATTGTTCAGTGATATCTGTGAAATTTCATACGACATATTTAATTAACGCATTCTGGAAAAACGACCCCCATCTCCTCAGTCACATTTCTCTTCATCTCTTCATTTCTCTTTCGTTTTACTTTTTTTTTTTGTTTTAGCAAATCTACAATAATCCAGCATCAAAACACGATTCTGTGACCAGCTCACCCATTGACATTGGACTTGGAGAGGACAGTGGTGGTTTTTCCAGACGGAGTCACGGATAAGAGAAATGATAAGGTACTCACGGCCAAATATCGCCGAGTTTGTCCTTGTCTGGGGCTAGCTTTGTGAGGTAGGAGTATTCATAGATGAGGGGCATGGACCCGGTGGTCGGCGGGTCGTCAGCGGAGGCCCCGGAGATATTTAGCATGGCGGAGGTTGCCGCCGTTAGAGGGTGCTCGTAGCAAGCGCCAGAACTAAGTCGCCAGCCCCCATCTTCGACCCCTTCCGCCCCCGTGGGGATCTCCGCCATACGCACCTCCCCCGCGCCTCCTCCTCCTCCTCCTCCTCCGCCTTCCTTCCGTTTTCTGACAAACAGAACATTCGCATCTCATTACTTATCTCCGTCATCACAAATTCACATATCAATCAAACCTAGCCGACAATACAAGATCCCCCATTCATACAGCTCCTCTTCATTCATCTACCCTCTACCTCATTTCCCCCCTTCTACGATCCACTTCATCTCTGACCACTTTTTATTATCTTCCTTCAACCTCTCTCCTCTTTTTGCATACACAGAGGGTCTTATTAACTTTCATAAAGCATAATAATATGGTTACTTGAAAAAAAAGTGCTCGTGAAAATTTCAGTCGTCTAGATTCGTGGGAGACACTTGCACTTGAGTTTTTTTGATAAGTTCCAGATCCATTAGGTATTCATTAAAGTTTTAGAGATCAAACGTGCAAGTTGCAAGATTTATACTTGTGCCCTGACATCTCTTTCTTTTATTTATTCTCTTTATGCCCTCAGGAGTGCTTTCAAGATAAAAGTTGATGGAATAATTTTTCAAAATGAACGAGCAAATAATTAATGGTCGTGAAAATTTTAGTCCTTAGAATTTGAGGATGACATTTAAGGTTAAGAGTTTTAATGGGTTATGAATTCATTTTAAATAAATTACTAGGAGGTGAGCCAACAACTGAGCTCAAGGATTTGGATATCTTACGTCACAGATTAATCAACGGAGAGGTGAAATTTATATTACTTTATTTCGTTTTTTAATGATCCTATTGAAAAAAATTCGGTGTCTTTTTATTTTTACACTTGATTTGTAATTTGAGAAACTTTCTCACTTGATTGATAAACTTTTTTCATTTGAGGGGAACTTAATAACTCTCTACAATGTTCGTAGCTGAGCGCAAAACAAGCCTTAATTAGTGTCAAAATGCTCGAATCCAACCTGTGTGGCAGGTATGCGGGTATAAAACGTTAATTGACGGCAATATTTGGCATGAATAATTTGCTCATAAATTATATTTTGCTAAAATGGTATGTTCCTTGCGGAATTAAACTAATTCTTATTCAGCTTGACCTTATTCAGCTTTGAATACGTTTTTACCAAACTAAGCGTGATTTAGTATCTTTCTTTTAAACGCACAAAAATGGAGCAAGATAATTCGCTATCAATATTTTCTCTCTAATTTGTTTAAATTTATAATTATCAATATATTAAAGCTCTTGATTCCTCTACCATCGTTAACCTAAATGTGCTTCTCAGTGGCGTGGCGTGAATGATCGATTATCGATATATCGCCATTTGAAGCTATGGTAAAGAATCGATTACTAAGGTGTTCGCTGTGAACACCCTAATAATCGATCTTTTTTCATAGGTTTGAGTGGCGTATCGATCGATATATCGCAAAGCACGCCACGCCACTGGTGCTTCTGAAGGGCAGGATCTTGTTAAATCGGCTAAGAACGGTCAAACATGCAGAATATGTTCGATATTGTAAGCTTCAAACACCAAACAAGCCGTCAGGTTGAATGTTTCAACTTTTAATATCGGTCATTGATAACCCAGAAGCCAGGCAAAACGTCAATGGAAAGCAATCGGTCATGAAGCATTCTAAAAAGCAATATTTATTGAGGTTGTTAGTTAGCTATGTGTAAACTAAACCGATAATCACAAGAAACAATTAAAACCATCATATTCTCAGCGGCATTCCGTTACAAAGAAGCTTAAACTCATGTTAAAAAAATAAATCAAGAAGCGATGATAAAGCCTACCTTAAATTAAGAAGTAAGCTGTTTTCTACAAACGCGTGGCTCCAAAATAAGTAAAAACTAAACTTGCTCTTTCTCTCTCTCTCCCCATACTTTTCTTCACTCTCTCTTTCTCTCCCTCACAATATCTCATAAAACGCGAATAAAAGATTTAATGATTTTTCCTTTCTTCTTCAAAATCATGTTTGGTATTTTAAAAATCTGCACAACACTGGCAATCTCTGATTTACTTTAATATATTCATGGCTACCTTTTGCTAATCAATAATACATGGCTGCATGATTGATCCTTTAATCTTAATGAGGAATGCGCTTCCTTGCGATATCGACTGGGGAAAATTTTGGAATAGGGGCTTAGGCATTTCTTTACTCGCCGTTTTGTATCATAAACTTGATGATCCGTTAATTCAATACGTGAAAGCCACTCGAAGCATCCATCATCTTTAAAAAGATCAAAACTCATCATCAAAGAAATCCAATTTCGCTGAACTCGCTGCAATTGCGAATTAATGATGATACTAGTGGTTGGATTGCCACGCAATAGGTTTGTAGTCATTTTTTGTCATGTATTCCTGTCAGGGCTCCCGGAGGTACGAGGATCAATGTCACTCAAAAGAGTTCAAAGGGTTTACAGGTTTCCCTCCTCCCCAGCTTAGAGCAAAATCGGATTGCTTCTATAAAAACGGAATCGGTCAATAGGAAAGGAATTCATCATCCAACAGGGCTGTGGGATGAGCTTTTGGTGCTTACGAAAAAGTTCTCAGAATTTCTGGTCAGTTTCTCCGCTCTGACGCTCTATCTTCCCAATGGCGTGGTGTGCCTTGCGATACATCGATTTATTTGCATTTTAACTCATGGAAAAATATCGATCTACAGTGTGTTTGCATCGAACAACTTAACATTCGATTCTTTACCATAGCTTCAAATGGGAAAATATCGATAATTGATCATTCGCCTATGCCTCTTCCCTGTATTCAGCCTTGGCCCTCATCACATGGGACATCTAAAGCTCCGATTCCACAGGGCGCGGGGTGCAAAGTTGTCGGTACGAAATGAACCGCGCAGAACATTAGCGCAACTGGATGCACTGCTTTTAAACCTGCATGTTGCCACAGAGAAGGCGATTTGTCTCTGTAAATCGATCGCTCAACGAGTAGACGCGGATCCACCAATTTGGCAACACCGGATTCCCTCCATATAAACCAGGGTTAAATAATCGATTCTTGTCGGAGTACCTAGCCCCTCCAAGAATCGATACATTTCCATGGGTTTAAATTGAGGAATACAATGTTGCCGATTTGCTGGATCCGCCAATGTCAACGAGTATGCACCTCAGCACGTGGGAGACTTAAACGCACGGTTAGGAAGGTAGCGCAGCAGAGGCAAAACCTTAATGCTATTATAGGCTTGGAGTGAAAAATGTCAAAGTCTAGAATCACAGTTTATAGGCGTTGCTTGGCCTCCTGAATGCATCCCCAAAAGTTTCAAACAATTTCATGAAATTTCGTGAAATTTCTCGCGGATTTTCATGAAATTTTCCATCTCTGTCTGTGGATGGTACGTATGGATGGACCTGTCACCCTTCTGATAAGGACAATCATAAGGGAGCGACAGTCATCACTCTTATTTTGGCTGTTGACCTACTAAGATGGTGGATGATGAGCTTCGGGTGACGTCATGAGCCGAACAAGAGTCCCAAACTAATGGAAAATTTAAAATTGATAAACCTAACACCAATATTAAACAAATGATAAGATATATGTGATTGATTAAAAATTTAAACTGAATTGGTAAAATAATGTTCATAAGCCAAAAGATCACCATAATTAAAAAAATAAAATTAATTAAGGATTAATTAAAGTTGCTTGTTTGCATAACGAAACTACCAACTCGTTGTTAAACTTCAACCATGTAGGTAAGTCAGCAGTTGAATGCTTCAGTCCCGACTCCCGAAAGTAAAAGCTTCCACAATTGCCAAAATACTAGTCGAGGATCTCTCGTCTCTGTCCGAAAGTGACTTTTACACTATAGGCAAGATCGGAGTGGAGGTCCTTTAAAATATATTGTCTTCGAGTGGAAGTTCGGCTGGGGTATGCGGGTGGGCGGGGGTGGTGTCACGTTGGCGGGTGCACACGACGCACGTAGCCGGACGGTGTGGCGCGGCTCGGCCCACAAATCTTGGGCGCGCGCTGTAGCGTGTCAAGCTGGAAGCGTGATTCTGATGCGCTTGTGCCATTGTGCGATAAGGAGTCGCGCCGCGGCCCCGGCCTAGTCACATGCTCACATTCACATCATATCACATGCTAATCCTCTCGCCGCGGCCGCACCGCACAACAGTGGATCGAGCAATGAGAGAGGTTGGAAATTTGGACACTATAAACGCTTATAACTCCGCTCACACAAAACTTTGAGGGTAATAGATGACTGTAGGTTCCACATAAGGAATATAAGCCAATAGACCAACAGAAGAAGAAGAACTTTGACGTTGTGAAAGTGGTTTCATTGGTTTCCTCGCGAAATTTTCTCCAAGAGGCACCCCTTGAAATTTAAAATTTGTAGGAATAAACATCAAAATTTGCAGTTTTAGTCAAAAATTTCATGTTCGACCTGTCTAATTGACTCGCTCCGCTGTGGGGCGTGGCGTAGCCTCAAGGTCCTGCCTCGCTACCTTCCTAATCGTGCGTTTAAGTCTCCTGCGCTGAGGTACCCCTTGAAATTTAAGATTTGACGAATTAGTCATCAATACTGCCATGCTAAGGGAAAATGCCGTATGAACCTACAGGCGTTGCCAAATTTCCTCGGATAAAACACAAATTTATCGAGGAAATTGTAAATATTTTTCTTCCAATCTTTCAGACTATTTTGTATGCAATTTGATCTAAAATATCTGAAAATTTCAAGGAAAAATATGCATAAATTTCGTCAAAAATGGATGTTTTATCCGGGGAAATTTCGCAACTCTCGAATGTTAATACGGTGTTCTTCCTTAGCACGGCAGAATTTTCGCAGTTATCATTAAATATTTCATGTCCAACCTCTCTGATTGACTCGATCCACTGTGCGCACAGCGATCCGCGACCGGCAACAGCCCCAAGTGTCGGGCTTTGTGGCCATGCCAGCTCGAGCTTCGGGCTGAAACGCATTCAAAAGTTTTACCGATATCACCTCGACTCTTGATTTTTGCCAAGACGAGACAGAACGCTACCGGCTGCGCTTGAAGAAGCCGCCGAGGTCCAAGTTTGATACGACACTGCCACAAGATTGGGGGTATAATTGAAAATTAAAGTCAGTTTTTGAATCTT